TTTAAAATAAGATCCTTTCTAGTTCTACCCTAAATAAATATATCTTATGCTTTTGCTTGAGTTCTCAGAAATGAGTTAGCATTTCCTCTTATTTAGTAGTAAGACTTGAATTTCTCAACCTTAGGAAACCTTGAGAAACAAAAGTCAGTATTGTAAACTTTATTCTGTAGCAAAAAGTTTTCTGAAGTTGGATTCTCCAGTAACTGCATCTTTACTTATTTCTGTAACTCCATGAAGTTTGAAGATCTCTGCATCATAGATAAATCTCAAAATTATGCTATGGAAAAGAAACCAGAAAGAAGGTATACTGTGTAACTCAAAATTCTAGAAAATGCAAAGTAGGGCTGACAAGTGGTTGCCACCAAGACTGACAATCTAAACTCAATCTCCAGGACCTACCATGAGAAAGAACTGACTCCTGACAGTTGTCCTGACCATGGCACACAATCCCACACAGATAAAACACAATTCAAATATTTTAAGACATGAAAAAAACTTTAAAAAGAAAATGCAAAGTAATCTACAAAAGGAGAAAACAGGTAAGTGGTTTCCCTTGAAAAGGGAGATGGGAAAAAAGAAGAAAGTAATTTGCTTTCTTTATTTTGAATGGTACTTTCACTGGTATATACAAATGCAATTTACTAAGTTGTATGCTTTAAGCATACGATAATTTGTTACATGCTATTTATGCTTCCATAAAGCTGTAAAAAAAAATAGCTGTGGCATATTTGGAAAGAAAAAAAGCAATTCCTTTATTGTAAACTAACTACTCCCCCCACCCCCTTACTAGAACTATCAAAGTTCCAATACCTTGACAAAAAGCAACTTAAAGAAGAAAGGGTTTATTTGGCTTACAAGTCCAGGTTATATTTAACATTGTAAATACAGGTAAAAAGAAAGGTACTTACAAGAAAGATGAACCTGAAAGCATGGTGTGGGCTTCTCAAAAATTCTCCCATCATACTTCCATATATCCTCTACATGGCTATCATAGGCATATTTTATGAATGCAATCCAATCAAGCCTTTTGTTTAAAAAAAAAATGTTCCATCTCATCCACTTCAGAAAAGGATCTCAAGATTTAGTCACATACTGAAGTCTTGTCTCAATGGTGCATGTACATGAATGTGCACACACAGCAAAAGTACTTGTTGCTTCCCAAATTTACTAAGTCATCTTGAAACTTTCAATGTTTTTTACTCTCCTATGAACTTTCTTTGTTTTTGTTTCCAGCTTTGTCTTTTTCACTTAATAACTTTTTTTTCTCACAGACATATTCTCTGATCAACTCCTTTGGGTTAAGTCTAGCATAGTAGTGCACACCTTCAGTCCCAGTGCTAGGGAGGTGTAAAGGCAGGCAGATCTTTGTGATTTGAGACCAGGCTGGTCTACATAGGTCCACTGATGGCCAGGGCATTGTAAAAACTCTGTCTTTAAAAAAAAAAAGTTAGATATATTAATACTGTTCTGGTTAGAAACATTTGGTCTAAGCCAGGTATGGTGATATATCCCTGTAATCTCAGCACTCCAGAAGCTGATGCAGAAAATTCCTAATTTATAGTCCAGCTTGTAACATAATAACTTTGAGGTAAGCTTGAGCTACATAGTAAGACCTAATCTTAAAGGAAACAAAAAGAACCACAACATAACATTTCTTTCAAGAACTCCATGCAACCTATTCAAATGTACAAAGGTCATTGGGTGACAATTCTGGATAGGCACTTAACCTATAGGATGCCATGTCAAAAGCTGTCTAGTGGATTTGGTGGGGTGTTTTGTTGTTGTTTTTTTATGGGTATGGATATTTTGCTTATATATGTCTGTGCACTATATGTGTTCTGGTGCCTGCAGTCACCAAAAGTGGGCATTTGATCCCATGGGTCTGGAGTTACAGATGGTTGTGAATCACAGTGTGGGTGCTGGGAATAGAACCCTGGTCCTTTGGAAGAGGCCAGTGCCCTCATCTCAATAGGTTTTTTTTTGTTTGTTTGTTTTAAGATTTATTTTATGTATATGAATACACTGTAGTTGGTCTTCAGACACACCAGCAGAGGGCATCAGATCTCATTACAGATGGTTTGTGATCCACTATGTGGTTGCTGGGAATTCAGGACCTCTGGAAGAGCAGTCAGTGTTCTTAACCACTGAGCCATCTCTCCAGCCCCGCAATGGTTGTTTTTAAAAACAAACTCTGAGCTTGTTTTTAAGAATTGTACTTGTAAATAAATGTTTGTTGAAAGGCAGAATGACTTTCAAATATAGGAACAATGTTACAGTGACAGTATTCCAAGCTAACAAATACAAAATATTTAAGGTTTAAAAAACTGAGTATAACAGTATAAGACTGAATTCTGTTTTCTAAGGCAGTCCTGTCGTGCTTGAGCAAAGAGGAACACATTAAGAGTTTTCTAAAGAAACAGTGGAATTGGCCCTGACACTATCATGGAGATCACAAAGTGTGAAAATATGCTGCTTAAATGATGAGCAAGTGGTGAAAGCCAGTGGTGGAATTCAGCCCTAGCCTGAGGGAGAGGGGAGAATGCAATAAAAGCTTCATTGTGAATCCAAAAGTCTGAAAACTAGAAGTATTGGTGTCTGAGGACCAGAGAAGGTGTACATAAGAAACAAACTTCCCTTCCGCTGCCATTTTATTTTATTCAAAATCTAAATGGGTTACAATTTTCTTGTTTGTGTTGAAGGCAATCTTCTTTGGTCTCAGTTCACTGATTCAAAGGATAATCTCTTCCAAGAACACACCATGGATACACCAGAAATATTATTTTACCAGCCAGCTGGGCATCCCTCTACCCAGTCAAGCTGACAGGTCTGAGTCCTTCATCAAAGTTAGATATCAGTATTTTTCATATAGCTTTGGGGGCAGTGTTCCTTCCCCAGACAAGGTCCTTGAATGTTTACTTTTCTTCTAACTTGAATACTATATGAAATTAACAATATTTAAAATACTGACGAAGTGCTAGTAAGTATTGTATAACATGACAGTAAGAAAGTTAAGTGCTTAATAATTGCTTGTACACACATGTTGCATAAGGAAGAAAAAAAAAGCTTTCCTGCTTATGTTTAGTTTGCTGGGATTCCTTCAAGAATAGTTTAAATGGACTGGTAATGTTTTCCTTCCCACTTATTTCTACATACCTCTTCTAGCCTGGCCTAGAACTCAGTAGTGGCCCAGGCTGACCTTGAAAACTCATGATCCTCCTTTGCTCCTGGGATCACAAGTGTGCAGTACTACTATATGCCAGTATTCTGTTGTTTAGTGCAATTCTGTTCCATTAATACATCACCTAAATCAACTGGAAAGTATCCGGGTTGCTGGTTTTTGAATGTCACAATTAACTACTATGAACATTGTATATATGTTTTGTGTGGAGAAAAACACTTTTTTATCACAAAGGTTTGTGCATGGTCATTACAGCTTGAAGCCTACCAATTTAATGTCAAAATAATATTCTCAATGTGAAAGCACAGCTTCTGTTTTAAACTATGTCATCATATAGCCCAGGTTGGCCTCCAGCTGGAGCTCTCCTTCCTCTAGGTCCCCAGTGCTAGGATTACAGGAGTGTGATACCATGCCCAGCCAAAGTACAGCTTCCTAAGACACAATTAGCCTTACAAAAATGATACTTAAACTAGAGAGTATAAAATTGGTTGGACTTTTTGAAAGCCATATATTTGTTTCACTTAGGCTTCAAATCACTTTTGCAGAATATGCAAATGAGATTTGAATATAAATTCTTGTAAATGCTTTATTCTATATATGGTATATATTGAGTAAGGGCACACTTTTTTTTTTTTTGAGACAGTCTAGTCATATATGCTGGCCTCAAACTTTATGGTATGAAATGTTTTGCCTACATGTACATATACATGTGTATGTGTGTATTTTTTGTATGTATTTATGTTACATGCATACCTGGTGCCCATGGAGGCCAGAAGGCATCAGATCCACTGGAACTAGAGTTATGAATGTTTGTGAGCCACCATGAAGATGCTGGGTACTGAACCTGGTTCCCTGGAAGAGCAACAAGAGTTCGTAACTCCTGGTCCATCTCTCCAGCTCTTGTCATCAAACTCTTACATTCTGCTTCTACCTCCAAAGGTTGGGATTATAGGCCTTCAATTCCATACCCAGCTAAAATTCTGTATCTTAACTTTTCCTAACCACTAGAGGAAAATTTGCACGTCTTCAACTAATGGTGTAGGAGATCAACACAGCAGTATTAGCCAAACCTACTTTTCTTTTCTTTCTTTCTTTTTTTTTTTAACGATTTACTTATTTATGTGAGCACACTGTAGCTGTCTTCAGACACACATGAAGAGGTCACCGGATGGTTGTGAACAAACATGTGGTTGCTAGAAATTTAACTCAGGGCCTCTGGAAGAGCAGTCAGTGCTCTTAACCACTGAACCATCTCTTGAGCCCCAAACCTACTTTTCAAACAGTAAGTTTTTATTACCACATTACAATTCTAATAAATACTGGAAATACCATTGATCATCATTTCAAAGTTTGGGTCTTTATTAACCTACTAATCCCTACTGTAGACCCTACTGTGTTTTATTTCTTGAGTTAGGGTCATACATATCTCAAGCAGATCTTGAGTTCCATGCAAGGTAAGGATAAACTCCACCACCTTCACCCTGTTCCAACTCCAAGTACTGGGATTATAGATATGCCGCTACCATGCCAGTTTATAGGTGCTAGGAATTGAACCTTGGGCTTCATGAATGCTAAAGCAGACATTGTACCAATTGAGCTATATCCCCAATCCTAATCATAGTGTCTATAAAAATTACTCATACCAGGTTTGCTTTTCCTTAAAACTGACTACCTCAAATGTCTTCCTCTAGAATATGAATTTCAATACATGTCTATATGTGTGTGTGTATATTCATATATGAAACATTATTTTGAGCAGGGTCAACAGCTTTACTGAACTGCCCACATACTTTTAGATATAAGAACTCTGACCACAAATCTGTCCCAGTTTCTTGTGCTTTATTGCATAGCAGTAAAGGGTCAGTGTACTCTCTCTTTTTGAAACTTGTTAGATTAGGCAACTGGAATTGGTTTCTTTGAAGTTTTCTTCATTGTCCTCTCTGTATGTTGAGAGTTTCTGGTTGGTAGATTCCAGTGTTCCCCACTAATCACTGCATCCTGGCTTCTGAAAGTACAAAACAAAGGGAAGAAGACAACAAACAAATTAACTCAGATGTCAATTTAAAACACAAATATAAAACTTCATGTTCTATAAGCTCCATCCAGTAAATACTTGCATTCAACTAACACTTCTCCCACTTAATAGCTGTCCCCTTGGTATAACAGCAATCTTTGCCCGGTTTCTTCATTTGTAAAAAAGAAAAACAAGTGTGCCCGGCACATAATTTTCATAAATATAATCTATATATGTATTGTTCAAAATGTTTCACATTCACACTGGCCAGTTAAATATCTGAACTGTGACTGATAGCAAGGAGCAGCAGTGTGTGTAGGGGATAACAAGAACAAAGTGTGACATATACATAACACTGTAACAGGGAAACCCATTATTTGTATGCTATCATAAAACAGTAGGCATTGATACAACCAGTAACAGCCTACAGTGTCCTTTCACATTATGACATTGAAAACACAGCAACTCTGACAAAGGGCGGGCATTATTACATCTAACTTTGGTGGTGAGGAAACAAACCTGTAGTATGCAGAACCAGACCAGTATCATAAATAGAAAGCAGTAAGCAGGAAGTCAGATCTGGGGTTCTCCTCTCACCCCATGCTTAATTCTTTGCTTCTACTTTTAACTGGTTAGTCAGGAGAGAACAATGGGTTCTTCAGGGAGGAGGAAGTGTAAGAGGTGTCCAATAGGACATGAGGTAAGTATTGAGGGTTTTACTAACTCAGAAAATGGTTCTGACAAAATAACCTCTATTACTTAGGTGCTTGTAAATATATATAATCTCGGGCCTACTAAATAAAAATCAGCATTTTAAACAAAACTACAGGTGGTTCCTATGGATAGCAGTTGAGGCAGCTGCATTCCATTAATTGCTCTAGTGACATTATATATGGTATACACCGCCACTCTTAGGCTATATATTGACTTTATCATTTTAATTGGGGAATATTCCCTGCAACAGGTCCTCAAAAATTCTAATTATTTCCATGTAGTCCTGAAGGATCTCCATTTTAAGTGGGGTCATTTGCGGATGCTAGAAAACCCTAAACGTGTGATCTTTTTGAATGCTTTTCAAAAGTTAGTCTTACTTCTTACCCAGAGAGTACTCTCGATGACAAATGGCCCTCTACATTTTACGCATGGCAGATTCAAACAGGGCAGTGGTACACTTACGGATCTCACCCACTGGATTTAATCCAGACCGATTCCTTAATATTTTGTCACTTTGGGACTCAAAAACTGAAACAGCAGAAGTAAAATCATTCTAGGGTATTCCTCTTGCTGTTCCATATCTAACTTTGCTTAACGTCGGCCAAGGCTCTACCCAATCCGATCACAATTAAGCTGCATTGTTAAGACTATGGTAATACAGAACCCTCCAGGCCGCTGCTCTCAGATTGGCCCCTCAGGGTTAACCACGCGCATATTTCCGCACGTGGTAGTGCTATCAGCACTCAGCCTGGATCTGTTTTAAATTACCGTTCCTAATTTGAGGGCAGCCTCCTCCCGCTACTAAACCCTATCGGAGGAGCACGGGAAGAAATCTCCATCACCTGGGCCACCGGAAACCAGGAACCGGCTCCACCTTGACTAAGGCATCTAGTCACCCCGCGGCCCCTCCCACAGCACATTCCCGATTGGACGCCCGAGGGAGGGCAGTGTCAGCGCGCGCCGGCCAGCCTGGGGAATTCCATTTCCTCTCCCGCCCACCAGCATAAGCACTCAGGGGCGGTGCTTCCCGCGCAAGACCCGCCCAGCGAGAGCCCGTGGGAGGTGGGGGGAGGTGCCAGCGCATCTCGCGATAACTTGCGGATTTGGGGGCGGGTCCCAAGCCAGGAAGAGAGCACAAAACTGCCCTTAAGTCATTGCAGACCCGGAGCTCCGGTGAGCCTGCCACGAGGTTCTCGCGAGATCCGCCGCCTCCATCCCAAGTGAGGAAACGGGGGCCACTGTAGGGAGGGGCGTGGGGCCTCAACCGCGCAGCTGCCGCTTCCATTACCTTCCTCCTAAGGTCTCCTTCCGGTTCTCGATGCTTCTCTGAGTCTAAGGGTTTCCGCCACTTGTCTACCCTCCCCCTCAGCCCATGACCCGCCTCCGTCCCCCGCCCTCCGGGTCCGACCTCCGATCGGTTTAGTAAGAAGGTGCTGTTCCGACAGGGAAACGGCAAAAGGGTGGCGCGTCCACTCGGCCTGGACGAGGGAGGCAAACCGCTCCCATTCAACCCTCAGCTCGCCCTGCGCTCGCGACGGCGGCGTTGGCGGACGGATACGCGGCGGTGAATAGGCGGGGGGGAGGGGCGGAGCGTGGCAGCTGGCAGTAGTTCCGTCAGAGCGGACATCTTGTGGCTGTGCCGTGCGCGTGAGCCCCGTAGGGCCGGGGAGGCACCAGCTGCCGCGCGGGGAGGAGGCCGAGGCCGCAGCTCGAGGGAGGCCCCGGCCCTCTGTACGCGTGGGTGTGGACAGCTCGGGAAAAGGGAGGGAGACGGGCCGGGGCCGGCGCGGCGCCCCGGGCTGTGGGCGGCCTGAGTGGGCAGCCCTCGGGGCTGGGTGGGGTAGGATGGGAAGGCCGGCGGAGCCGGGCCCGGCCGAAGGGGGAGGGGGCATGGGCGCGTCCTCGCGCCGGAGCTCCGCGGCCGCCGGGCGCGTGGTGGAGAGGTGGCTGGGGCGCGCGCACGCAGGAGCGCGCTGTGAGGCGGAGAGTACGGTGGTGTCAGGGGCGACCCAGAACAGCTCTAGCTGTGGGGACAACCGTGCACACGAGGCCCATTCCCTTCTGCTGGCTCGCCGGTCCTTGCAGCAGAAACCGAAAGGAGCCCGGCGTCGGTCCGGAGCCTCCCGCTCCCCTCCCCCTTGTCTTTCTTTGCCCTAGTGACGCCGGCCTAGCGCCGACTAGGCCCGGGCTCCTCCTCTGCCCGGCTCTGGACCCTGCCCCGCACCCACCCCTTTCTCCTCCGCCTCTTCCTCTCCCACCCGGGGCTCTTCCTTTCAAGAGGCCGGGAAGTTAAACTTGTAACCACCTCTCGGCTCTTCCCGTCACCCTCGCCCTCTCTGGGCGAAGCGCGGATATAAGTAGCCGGTGGCTCTGCCACCCCACCCTGCCCGGATCGCGACGGTTTGCAGGGTTCTGGAATCAGCAGGGTTTCTCCGAGGCCTTGGCGAGTGGCTGATCTGCTCCGTTTTTGCAAAAGGCGCCTGTGTCTGGCAGAGCCGGTGTGAGAAGAAGAGACAATCCTTCCCCGCCGCTGGGATAATCAAGAGTTTTGGCCGGACCTTTGGGTACACATCGGGATAGTGAGGAGCCCGGCGAAAAGCACAGACTATGGCGCTGAAACGGATTAATAAGGTGAGTTGTTGGAACTAAATGGTGCGGACGGAATCATGGGAAGAAAGGAGGCTTGGGGCCCGGAGAAAAGCATGGGGGGTTGGATACAATTCTGAAAATAGCCTTTCTTGGGTTAAGAGAAGGCAGGTGCCTTTTGAAATGAGCTGTAAGATAGGGAACGGAATGGTTTTGGCAAGCGAGATGTTTGTTTCATTAGAATCTGCAGGTGTGGGTGAGGGAGCGTGGCTTTTAGGCTCCTCGGTTTTTTTTTTTTTACCTAAGAGTCAGGTTTGGGAAGTAGAATTGTGTACAGGCCCTCGGCAGATGTCATGGTACTGTTTCCAATTCTTGGTTTTTCAAAACTTAGAACTACTAAGGCTATAGGCATTATAAATGCCTAAAGAAAGGAATGTAACAGATGAAAAACGTTTTATTCTGAACTTGACTGAGAGTCAGGGTATGACAAACATACCTCAGTTTGCTAAAATGTGGTGACGAAGTCTGTTCAGAAGCTTAACCAAATCTGGGCAGTTACACAAGAGTAAGTGGGGTTGGGAGGAGGTGGACCGACACTGTTGCCACTTCCTGTGTTGTGTGGTTGCTGCTTTCACCCGAAGCTATTTATCTGAGGCACCGGGAACCCATGTAAAAGCCTTCTGAAAGATCCCGGGGGTGAGGGTGTTTGACAGTGCAGGGAAACTGGACGGTCGGACTGTTTTTGCTTAGAACTCTTCCTTAAGGAGGCTTGTTTGAGCAGTTCAATATAGTTTGATAAGTTGTCAGTTGAAGTTGGAAAAAACTAGGATTTTTTTTTTCCTTCAGAAATATGTGAGTGGAACCACCTCTCCGGTGGTTTAGTATCATTTTCTTGCTCTAACTTCTATCCCACATTTTAAGATGGCGGCTGCTTTAAACTGATTCGGGTTCTTTCCGGCATCTTCTTTTCTAACTATAAGATAATGGTCTCTGTTAAGCGTTAAACGTTTTTCTATCCGGTTGTAGGGAGCTCTCAGAGCCTCTGCCCTCAAGACTTAACCTAAATTCAAACTCTCAGACTAAGTCTCTCAGTCTGTCTGTCTCTCTCTGTGTCTCTGTGTGTGTCTGTGTCTCTCTCTCTCTCTCTCTCTCTCTCTCTCTCTCTCTCTCTCTCTCTGTGTTGTATTTGGTTCTTTCACAATCGAGAGGGTGGAGTATTTACAGCTAACTTGAAAAAAATGCGAAATAAACTCAGTCTTCATAGAAAAGACAAAATGGGAAGGTTTGGTATTAGAAACTTTGACTTAGTAGCACAGTTTTTAAAGAGTTCTGTGGAAAGAAAGGCAAGGTCTTAGATTGACTATGGTTGGATCTAATACTATATTTGTAGTTAGTTAATATGTATAGCTTGATCCGTTTGATTGGAAAAACTGTAGTTTCATGAAAGTTAAGTCTTACCTGAATATATTGATGTTGAAATCTTGAATTCTTAGGACATCATTGGGTAGTCTTTGTGGTTTTATGCAAAACACCTAACTGAATTGTTTGTATTGATGATAATGCAGAGAAAGAAAACCTTAGAATTTAAGACTTCGAATAGCTAATAGAAGATAATATTAAAATTACCACTTAGCGTGACAGTTTTGAGGGTGAACCTTACGTTAGAGATTCGTTATTGTCCTTTGCAGCGTAACTAATATGGAGACTGTAACATTAGGTGCTAACCAAAATTTAAATCCATAGCTTCCTATAAGTGTAAAACAGAACTTTTTAAAGGGAGGTCTTACTGGGCTCTTTCTTTCTTTCTTTCTTTCTTTCTTTCTTTCTTTCTTTCTTTCTTTTTCTTTCTTTTACAGGTGATACCAAGTTGCTCTGGCACCATTTTAATGACATAAAAGCTCTAGCCAGGCAGTAATTAAGTGTAAACATTTGTAGTAAAAAATGAGATAGAATCGGGCTCTAAGCAAGTTTTTCCGTTTGCCTAGTCTATACCAGGAATTTCTCCAGATACTGGGATGGCAAGGGAAAACAGGTTTTACAACTTTAAAGAAATTTATGTATTGATACTTCAGAGGTAAATTTTTTATATTTGAAAACTGTTGATATGCCAAATGGCTGATTCAACCTGTAGAATATTCCAGCATATCAGTTTTTTCTTCAGATACTGTGAGAATCATGAGGCTACTTTAAAAAAATGGCACCCAGATGCAGCCGTAGTTTTTGAAAGTTCAGAAAGGGGATGCCTTTTCTTTTTAAGACAGTATTTCTCTAAAAATAAAGGGCCAATTAGCCATTGTCGTGAGGTTTTTTTGTATTCTCTATTTAGAATGTATTCTTCCAGTTCCCCCAAGCAAGTATTAACAAATTAACAAGCCATTAGTATTTTATTGAAATGTTTCTACATGACACTGAGCTTTAGTGATAAACTGGTGTAAATCGATATATGTGTGTGTGTGTTTGCTTGACTATTTCTTAGCTGACCAAATAACCATACATGTATTCTTTTGCTGTATTTGTTGTTGTTTGAACCAAATTGTAGTATGGTGCTGTTACTAAATGGGTATTTTAGAAGCTGAATTCCAAATCTGTGTTTTTGGAGCTTTAAGAAAATTTACTGCTACAAAGCAAAAATGATTTACATATTTGGGGGACTCTGAGAACTTTACATTGAAGATCAATTATGAAACATGTGAACAGAAATTTATCTTAAAAGTATTTGTAATGTTTCATAACTCTTTCAAATAGTTTTCTTATAACATGAAAATGTAGGTACAGTTGACATCTTCTCTATGAAGAAAATTCACTGTTTTTAAAAAAAGGAAAGAAAAAACCCACCCAGGTGTTGATGTTGTAGTTGGGATTAGAACCCAGGCTTTCTATCTAACTCCAAGTTCTTCCAATGATAACTGCATTTTTATACCATTCTTAGGGTTTCTGTGATAGTTCAGGCCTAGCATAGGCTCTAATGTGTAAATAGGCCTCCACACAGCCATATGAGATATTCCCTGAAGTAACAGACACAGAAGTTGACTCTTGACTTGTTCAGCCACAAAACTAGTAATAGATTTCTAATAAGATCATCTCCGAAAAGAAAACAACAAAACCTGTATTTTGGACCATTAAAATTCTTACTAAATGAATGTGGGTTGTTTTGTTTTGTTTTTCTGAAGTATGCTGTCTTCCACCTCGTATGAGGCTGATTTTTATAAATGAAATTAGTTAATAATGAATTATTAACTAATTTATAAATGAAGATGAATGGAATGTATTCTTGTGTAGTTTCTTTAAGGGCTAGAAACTGCTGTGTTGGTTAAGTGCTGGGATTCTTTTAAAGTAAACAAATTGTAAGCTAATAGGTTTTTCCTGTGGTCCTGATTTTGTTTGTTTTTTTTTTGTTTTTTGTTTTTTAGTTGGTCCCCAAGGTTTATTTATACTGTAAAGAATACTTATGTGAGTGAGTGATGCTGATCGTCCAGTGATCCCAGTATTGAGTTTGATAAAAGCAGTTGTGACACGCTATCTTCATCTTTCACCACCATGTTTATCTGCTGTGTTAAATCCAGTGTTTGTTATGCACATAAAGATTAAGTTGAATACTCTCCATAGCTCCGGTGAAAGCTACTTGTATACCTTTATATTGTCAAATTTTACTTGTTGCTTCCTAGGTTTGGGTGCCTCTTAAAATGCAAATCAATTCTCAAAGGCTTGGATTCTTGAGGGGGGGGCGCTATTGGTTGGCAGGGAGCACTTTGCATGGTTGTGGAGTTCAGAGGACATTTGTAGTCAGATCCCTCTACTTTTACCATGGCTTCTGGAGAGTGAGCTCAAATTATTATTTCATCTGGGCAAGCACCTTTACAAACTATGAGCCATCTCACCAGCCATAGCTTTCTAATCGAGAACAAAAAGTTTCAGATTAAATTTTGAGGCTAGCCTGGAACTCTTGTCTCAGCCTTCTGAGTGCACCATAATGAGAATTACAGGACTGGGCTGGTTGCGCTCTTCCTGATTATGCTTTTATTTGTTGGTTTAATTTATTTTTGCACTTTGACTTTTGAGGTAGGTTTTGACTACATAGTCAAAGCATTGGCCTTGGATTTAAAACAATCCTGCCTCTGCCTCCCATCGGGGATTACAGGATGTACCACCAAACCCAACTGCTTTCTGTGCTTTTTAGGAATTTATTCTATTGCTGTATATAAGAGCTATTGCTTAGATAGGCTTTTTACATTACTACATTTTTATTTCAGATTCTAGGTTTTTAAGGATTACAACAATGTTTGGTCTTATCTCTAAAAACACATAATTCTGGATTGTTCATTAGAGGATTCTGGACTTGTGCTTAGAAACTTCTGGTGGAGCTGGGCAGTGGTGCACACCTTTAATTCCAGGGTGACAGGCATGTGCACCTCTCTGTAAATTCAAGGCTAGCCTAGTTGCTGTGAGTTCTAAGACACTAGAAGATGCTCTGTCTCAAAAATCAAAAGAAAAAAAAAACCTCTTTGGGGTTAACTTCATCAATATTTCACTGGGGTCATAATTGCATTAAAAAAAATCAAGAATCTCTGCTTTAGTTGGGAAAATACAAACACCAAACACACTATCACTTTGTACAACTGATTTTTCAAAGGTTTATCAAAATTCTGTTATTCTGTATCCTAATAGTTTTATGAGCTTGCTGTCATAATCTTAGTTAAAATTTCTCTAGTGTTAATGAGTGCATTTAATCTTTTAGTGTATAGCCAGTCTGTCTTATAATATTGTATTATTAAAACTCCTCAAGCAACTAGGGTAGTAAATGCTTGCAGTCTGCAGACTAAGGTATGCCAATATAAATTGGAGGTCACTTTGGGAATGTAGTTATATACTCTGTCCTCAACACAAAATAACAAATTATTCTCAAGCTTATTAATGTAGGATAGGGAAGGGCACAAGTTAATATTTTATACCTGGTTTAGACATGTGAGTTTATTATCTAGGGACCTTTCAGAGAACTTCATAGATAGCTACATTTGTCCTAAAGTTTCTGAATTTTCTCAATTGTG